GGTGTGTTTTTTTTAAAGTTGCTTTAACAGTCGCATCAGCACGGAGAGGGTACCATTAGCACGAGGGAACAAATACACCGAGGGTCCGCATCTTAATAACAAAGTCAGCTTACTTAGCTCATATAAACTTGTAGAAAAACAAAAATAAAGTAACCTTCCATGTATACGGCCTTGCATGTACCGTACTGTGTATATGAATACGCTGATAATTGAGATGTAAATAACCATGCAGTTAATTATTAGTTTTACTCCGATGCTACCAACTCCTCATTTTGTATCACTGGTGGCCCGATGATGGCAAATAGAAAGGAGGGAGCCCATCTGCGTTGACCAATTCGTACCGCTCTAGTACTTGACGATGGGCCATCAGTGGGCCGGGCCTAAAGTTGACACAAATAATCACTATCCGTGCCGATTCATAAAGATGAGCCGGCACAGAGACCATCCATGCGCACTCAAAACATAAGCCTCGTCGTGCAGGATGTCAACAAGGGCTAGCACATAATTCTCTCCCAACAATATACTATCCCTGTTGAGTGTTTTCAAGAGTCTTCGTAAACTTAATTCACATATATCCTCATAAATTATAGGGTGCATCCTAACAAAAAATATCACTACAAGTAGTTCTCTCCCCAACAATTTTTTCAGCTGAGATAACATATACACCTTGTTTGCTTTCACTGAAATTTAACTTATGCTGCTGCTTATGTTAATTTGTTGTGAGAGAAAAACATTGTTCGTTCGTTAAAAAGTATGGTGCATACTGTCACCTTAAATGAGAGCAAGGATGCTACGAAATATATATAGGGTGTTGGGTAGAAAGATTGTTGGAGGATGATTTTTGTCGAATAAACCTTAGAGAAAATTAGTTCCTTCAGCACGAATGCATTAGCGCTTGGCCAACCTGCCCCAACCCGTTCCAACCTGCTCTTGTTGTACACCCAACCCGCCCCGCCCCATTAGCTCTCAATGCCCATTTGCACCCGTCCAAACAAACTCCAAATCAAAACCCGACCCATAAAACCCATTGCAACCCGCCCCATTAGCAGGCTTACTTTCTTGGTCTTAAAAAAAGTTGTGTTTTCCATCTTGGTCTTTTTTGTTGTGAACTTTCCTATTTGGTTCCAAAACAAAATTCGTTTCTTGGCCCTTCCATTAGATTGAGACTCTGACGGTGTTAACTTCTAAGCTAAATTTTCCTTTTAACCCTGCCATCGAAGGCAACCGACGGTTCGAAGCATACTACATGGAGGGAGAAGGAATTTGTGCTAGCTTCTCTATCTAGGCCGTGACGGCGCTGCACGAGCTGTTTGCGCCGTCGCACGCTCAACCGTTCCGCTCTTGCCGCCCTTCGTGATGCAGCCGCAAGCAAGCCGCCTCCACCTTCTGCACACCATCGGCGCTGGACTCCTGGCTCGCGGCGCCGGCCACACTCGAGGAGGCGCCCATGCCTGCGCGCCTGGCTGCAACCTACGAGGCGGGCGCCCAGACCAGCGCAGCCCGCGGCCAGACCCTGCTCGGCGCTCTGCTGGGCCCTGGCTCGCGACGCCGGTGAGCCCCGAGGCGGCGCCCAGGCCCGCGCGACTGGCGTACGTCCAGGCTGCCGGACGCGTGTGCGCGCCTGTATTGCGAGCGAGCGGCTGCGCTCCGAGTTTCGATGCGAGCAGGGAGAGAGACGAACGGGTAAGGTAAGGGCATTTCTGTCCAAGAAAGCGAACGAATTTTGTTTGAAGGATAAATAGGAAAGTTCAAAGGGGCCAACAATACAAACACGCCAAGGAACTAATTTTCTTTAAACCTTAATACGGCACCGAGCAGCCCGAGATAGCCGAGCTGTAAAACTCCCGGCCTGAAAGAGGAAAAAAATATGCTTAGAGCTACTTAGACTGGGAGCCCATCCATAAACTTTATTAGGTCCCCAGCCTGATGCCAGAAGAAATTGTCTAATGCCAAAATTCGCAAGTTCAGTATGGAAGATTTTGATACCACCAAGAGTTCAGTTTTTCCTATGGCTTTTGTCTAATAATAGGCTCCTTACTAGAGATAACGTGGCTAAACGCAGAAATGTGAATGATCCTACATGTCTGTTTTGCAGTGAGCCTGAATCTATAACTCATTTATTCTTTGATTGTTGTGTTGCCAAAAATATTTGGCTCATTGTCTCAGAGGTGTTAAATCAAAACTTGGGAACTGATTTTGAATCGATTGCTCGATTCTGGGTGGCCAATAAGCGTCATAAAGTTACTAATATTATCTCCTCATCAGTCTTGTGGTCTTTATGGAAATTGAGAAATGAGATTTGTTTTCAGGGAGTATCATGGACAGGCTTGGAAAAGGTTTTATGGAGGATTGTCAAGATGGTAAGGAGATGGAGTCCTTTGTTCAAGCTGGAGATTGGACATCAATTGGAGGACTTTGCAGATCAACTGGAAGCAAGAGCAAGATCTCCTCCTCGCATTCAGTGGAAGACGGATGTCGGGAGCCAATAAATAGCTCCCCCACATTAAAAAAGCCCGATGGAATGATAGAATCGTTCGCGAAGCTGAGGGACGATCGAAGACAGAAACCGGGGCCCATATGAAGAATGGGCCATAATTGAATATCAAGGCTTTGGTTTAGGCCTCAGCCCGATTGATGAGCAACATGTGAGTAAAAGCACACCCGCCGACCACGGGAGGCGTCCCCTCCTTGACCCCCAGGATGTCAAGATAGCCTGGCTCAAGGGGTCACTATATCGCCCCATGCTCCCCCGAAATGGGGAGGGAAGGGAACTCCCCCGCACGACCCCGGGGGGTCTGGATCCTTAAGCGCCCGACACCTACCCTCGTCCGGCCCCTCACGAGAGGACCCTCGCCTCGCCCGACGACCGAGAGAGGGGGCCCGGAAGGTCTACCGCCAACCCACACGTGGAAGAACCGACCTGCAGGCGTCAGATTGAGATTGGCACGCCCGAGGCTACGCTTACATTGCACTTAAAGAGCACGCATAGCGGCTACAGTATAGGGTGGTACAGTGGCGTACCAAAGGGCTTCGACGACGCTAATCGGAGAAGCCGCGCCTGAACCCTATGCATGCGCCCAGGCCACATGCGACGTGGACTGAACATCGCTAAGCGGCATGGGGGCCACCAGTTCTCGACGACCGAGCCCGAGGAACCCTTCTCCCGGCTTCCTTCTCCCTTGGCCTGTCGTGTACTCCAAGGCTCCCCCTTTACGCTATAAAAGGGGACGCCATGGGACCGTTCAGAACAAGCTCTCTGGACTATCTACAGTTCACGGAGCAAACCCACACACACACATACACATTCGTCCACATCAAGCACAGAGACTTGGGAGCTCTTTTCCCTCTCTCGCCATTGTTGTAACCCCTACTACAATCAATCAGAACAGCGGGTAGCACAAGTGCGCTGCGACTGGACTAGGGACATTCCTCCCGAACCAATATAAATCTCTTTGTGCCCACCTTAGCTAACCATTCGAGCTTAAACGCATCGTATAAGTTTACTAGCCGAGGGTTTCAAAACCCCGACAACGGAGGGCACGACAAGTTTATCATCAGACTCGGTGCCATTGGTTGCTCAGCCGTCGGCCTCAACAAGTGCAATTCCGACTATGTTTGATAGTTTTGCGATAGCTAGTTTCTCTGATGTCCCTGATGGATGTAATATCTCTGAGAGTGCCAGTTGCAGCTTTGCTAATCTGACGGGTAGTAGCTTAAACCCAGACTTAAGTCTTGCGCTCTTGGCCTGCGAGCCAACTGAAATGCTTTGAACGGTGAATGTTTTTTGCTTTTGGAATACAAAAGCAGGGGAGCCTCCCTTTTCTCCAAAAAAAAAAAAAAAAAAACTGTCTAATGCCTCTGAACGATGTAAGCTACTAATTGAACGAGTTGCCTTCCAACTTGTCCGAAGATTCTTTAAGTCCTTTGTTTCCACAAATGCCACCAAAATATCAATTGCACCGTCCAAATTTCTTTTGTCATCTTTCGCAACTCAAAGCATATTTAGATAAATGAACTAATCTTTTTTGTCATCCTGAATGGCGGTCATGCATACGCCGTCCCTCGATCATCTTGCATCCTCCCACATGCAAGGCCCGTATACATTCACATTGCTAGAGTATCGTCGGCTGCAACCACAAGTTTGCATGCTCTTGAAAAAAACAACAACGTGCATGCGTCTCAGGTGCTTCAATTTTTATTCATTAGCTGCTGCCGCCGTCCCGCGTCGAGCGCAAAATAATAATATATAAACTGATGCTTGTGCCTCAGCTCTGTGCAGTCCACTCCGACTTGTCTTGGCCGTGTTGTCTGTGTGTACGATAAACATTTGCATAGTATTTGTATGTATAACATGGTGGCTCAGCTGGAGCCTGGATACCATCGCCTCTGCTTTCTGTCCGTCAGAGAGGAAAGAGAGAGATGAAAGTGAGAGAGCAACGGTATCGTGCGTGACCAATGACTTTGGGCAGTTCTCGACGGCTCGGTCAGAGGACTCATCAGCAGGAGCAAATATGCATGCACACGTCGGCGCATGCACGGTTTCAGGAATTCCAGTCGCTACGGCACCGAACTGCAAGCTAAGCCTTCACACCGGCCCTGTCGCTCCTCGATCTTCCTCTCCTCTCGTCTGCTGCTGCGACTGCGCGAATCCCATTTCTCTACTTGCCCTCGCGTTCACACTCTACCGGACGCGACGCGGCTGAGCTGCTCTTCTCCCCGCGTCGCGCCGTCGCGCCGCGCGCGGAAAACTATATAAGACACGCCGGTGCCTCTGTTCTGCCAGCGTTCGATCGGACCATCCAACGCCACCGTCCTACAGGCTACAGCTCTGACTGAGAATCCCCGCCGGCGCCGGCCTCCCTACCTCCCTCCGGCCCTGCCTCTCCTCCTTCCTCGAGCATCTCGCGCGAGCTGAGTAAGAGATGACGTGGCCTACGCCGCCGTTCCTGTACGCGCCGTCGTCGTTCGTGGCGAGGGCGGCGGCGGCGGGCGCCGTCGCCATGGCCTTCCTGGCCATCTCCGAGTTCCGCGGCGACAACATTGCCTACTCCAAGTTCTGGCGCGGCCGCGGCGACCACGGCCAGGGGACGAAGCAGCAGCAGCAACAGGGCTCTCGCGCGCTCCTGGTGCCGAGCCGACTCGGGATGCTGCTGCTCTACGCTCCGGCGCTCGTAGCCGCGCTCGCGTCCTTCGCCGTGCCGGGCGCCGTCCACGGCGCGCGCGCGCACCTCCTCAGCCCCGCGTGGACCTGCTCTACCCCGGCGTGCTCGCCTTCGCCGCCGGCCTCGTCCTCGCCGGCAACTTCTACCACCACCTCCTCCTCTCGAGGCTGAGAGCCGGCGGCGGCAAAGACAAGAAGGGGTACAAGATCCCTACAGGCGGCCTGTTGGGGCTCGTCACCTTCCCGCACTACCTCTTCGAGATCCTCGCCTTCTTCGGGTTCGCCATGATCTCGCAGACGCTGTACGCGCTCACCGTGGCCGTGGGCACGGCGGCCTACCTCGCCGGCCGGAGCTGCGCCACCAGGAAGTGGTACGCGTCCAAGTTCGACGAGTTCCCGTCCAGGATCAAAGCTCTTGTGCCCTATGTCTGGTAGTGTGTAAACTCGATCGTGAGTTGCAACTTGGAAGCACACTTTTGCTTGCATGTACTCTTTTCTTTGTGTGTAATAATAAGAGATGGCGACCTTCTCATCAAGGTGCTATGGATTGATTTGGATAATAGCGTGTCTATTACAAATACTACTTCTCAAGGAAAAATAATATAAAAAACGTAATAACTACATAGTGTAGATCGCATCAAACTCTACAATTTGACATAAAATTTGTATTCGTTTAGGTTGTTTATGGAAAAGTTACCAATCTTTTTGGGATAAAATTTCTAGATATCGCCTCTGTCAATCGATTTTTAAGGACCCAACCTTTCAATATATGCCTATGTTAATAGCCATTTAACAGAGTCAGTCTCCTTAGAACACAGCCATTTACCTACGACCTGACCCTGGCCCTGAGCATTTACACAGGCGGCTGCTAAAAATCTCAACCCTTGTAATCAGATGGTTTGTCTTGTGAAATTCTTATTAAATAGTGTGATAAGAGCCTTTCACCCAATTTAGTTGAAACTGTGAGATACGTTGAAACATGCCGAGATGAGGTTATTATTGCATATAATGTGTAAATGCATTTAGGAAGCTTTACCAACCCAACTCCACGAGTCCAGTTACTGCATTTTGCTGAGTTATAGTCTCTGTGCTGTCCAAACTAGAATAATCTCTGTCCTGTGTGAGTCAAAACTCCCAGCCGGTTGGTCTCAGCTCCTCCGTTGATCAAGGCGACACCGTGGCGTTGAAAGTGTCACTCTCCGTCGCCTGCTTCCATTCGTCGCAGCGTACGCCCTGCGGCGAAGTGCGGAGGCAACATTGCAAGCGCAGAAAATGTTGACCGCCAAGTGGGATTCAACACCGCAACCATAGCATAACGCTCCTGCTCAGGTCATGGATGCTTTTAAACAAGCTTTCCAGGAACCACTTGACTCCCCAAAGAGGGCGACTCTATGTGAGTTAATGCTTGTTTAGTTCCTAAAAAGTTTTTCAAAAAGTGTTACAGTAGCTATATTGAATCTTGCGATACGTGCATGGAGCATTAAATGTAGACGAAAAAAGAACTAATTGCACAGTTTGGTTGGAAATTGCGAGACGAATGTTTTGAGCCTATTAGTTCATGATTGAACACTAATTACCAAATAAAAACGAAAGTGTTATCGTAGCCAAATTCTCAAAATTCGTGAACTAAACACAGCCTTAATGAAGTTTGACCTAGTCAGGATTGATGGCATGGTCGAGGAGGCATGCTAGTCTAGTTGTCTATGGTCGTTTGGCCGCAAATATAATCATATAAATTAAGTGACATTATGATTCTCTGGGTCTAAGGGCCTGTTTAGTTCCCTCCAAAACCCAAATTTTTTTGCGCAGTATTCATCACATCGAATCTTGTGGCACATGCATGGAGTACTAAATGTAGACGAAAAAGAAAACTAATTGCACAGTTGGGTGAGAAATCACGAGACGAAACTTTCGAACCTAATTAGTCCATAATTAAACACTAATTGCCAAATACAAACAAAAGTGCTACATTAGCCAAAACACAAAAATAATTGGATCTAAACGGGCCCTAAGTTGGGGTTCTGTCCTTCCTCCTTCCTCCTGAAAACTGCTGTAACCTTAATATTCTACTTTTTAATGAAACACACGTCACAAGCCGGTTGGTTCATTCTCCGTGTTAGTCACTTTCCAGAGACTCCATGTACGGTACTACATAATAACGCCATTAGGGCACTCGCAATGGTACTTCTCTAATAATACTAGCTTTTAGCAATGATTTATAGTATGATTAGATTTACGTGACACTCTAACATGATATTAAAATATGTGTACGAGCTTAGCTCTCAAGAGCTAGTTTTTCTCTTTTTTCTATTAAAATATGAAAAAGATTTATGAGCTGGTCATTGCGGGTGTGATGCTATTTCCGGTTCAGACGTGAGATTATATATTATATATTAGCTCTATATTGTGCTATGCCAAGACGTATCGGCCTGTTCGGCTGGCAGAATTTTGGTTGAAACTGGCTGGTTTGTGTGAGAGAGAAACACTGTTTGGCTGGTTTGATGAACAGTGAAATGTGAGGGGGATCAGCCGGATCATTCAGAGATGTTCTTTGAATCTGGATAGCCCCGGACCGAATCTCTTCTTCCATCCATTTGATAGGCCACACTGCCACAGGCTAATAGCAAGATTTGGATTGTTTTGACTTTGATCTGATGCTGACATGCTGCCTTGTTCTGCTGACATGCTGCCCTGTTCTGTTTGCAGTGGCTTCTTCAGCGACAGATAATAGTCAGCTAGCTGACGGATACTGTTTGGAATCAGCCAATAAACCAGCCAGCCCGTTACCAATCAGCCAGCTAAAAAAATTAACACTTCATAATAATTAGCTAAAAACGCAGATAATAGTTAGCTGTCAAAATAGCCCGGAAGCAATACTTTTAGGTGCTGTTGGCGCTTAGAGTCGTCGCTTTAATTTGGTCACGGTCTGTTCTTTACCTTTCCTCGCAAAATAAACATGAAGCAAGAAGAAGGATCGATTTCTTGCTCCTCCGCTACTGTAAAAAATACTCGGCATACGATGGGCAGACAGCCCCCGCAACTTTGTACTTAAGGAAGAAGACCTTCTCACGCAGGCCAAGAAAACCTTCGAACCCCGTGTCCCGCCCTTACACAGGGGCTAGAAACTCTGTAAGTGCGCCGGTCCATTAACCTGTACTTTAAAAAAACTCAGAACAGACGAGAAGATTTTTTTAACTCCGACAGACGAACGAGCGCACCCGTGGGGGCTCGAACCCTACACGCGAGAGTGCGGACACCAACCCGTACGAGGAGCCGTTGGCCTCCTCCGCTACTGTAGTGCGGATTCGGCACTTGAAAGAGCCATGCTACAGCAATATCGCTGAATCTATGTAATAATGAAACCCTGTGTACTGACGCAGAAGCGGGAAGTCTCTTTCATTGTCTAAAAAAACAGGCACGAGTCTTAAGGCCATGGGATGAAGATTAGTTCTCCCAAAAAGTAACAAAGAAAAGGATGGCAGCACAATGCAAGTCCTGTATGTGCTACTCAGAGGGTGTTGGGAAGGTTTGGAGTTTCACATCGGATATACCAACACTAATTTGAAGTATTAAAAGTAGACTATTAACAAAACTAATTACATAAATAGAGAGTAATTTACGAGACTAATTTTGCAAGCCTAAGCCATCTATGATTAGCAAATATTTACTGTAGCACCAAATTATCAAAATATAGATTAATTAGGCTTAAAAATTTCGTCTCGCAAATTAGTCGCAATCTGTGCAATTAATTTTTTTAGTTTATATTTAATACTCAACATTCGATGTGATAGAAGCAAAACTTTTAGGGTGGAAACTAAACAGGGCCTCAGGCCTGTTTTAGCCAGATCACAGCCAGGTTTATTACAGTAATTATTGCCAGTTCAACATGGTCAAAGCTCCAGCATGCACATTGCACAAGACAAATAAAACATGTGACGCGGCGAAAGCGGTTGGTGGCTGCGTCACGAGATGACGAGAGGCGTCCCGACAAGCAAAGCAAACCGGCCCGGCCCCGAAGTCCCAACGACTCACTCGCCGTCGCCGGCCCCATCACCGAGCCCCAGAGGCGCTCTGGCTCATCCGCTGCGCGGCGCCGGGGCGGCGGCGTCGTCCCCGCCATGCACGAACCGCCGCACGACGCGGACCAACTCACCCGCCGCCTCGCCGTCCGGCTCGAAGATGGCGAACCCGTGGCCCTCCCCCGGGAACTCGACGAGGTCGACGCGCCTGTTGTTCCCCGCGGCCGCCCGCACCCGCGCCACGTACTCCCTGATGCGGTCGATCAGCATGTCGCGGTCCCCCGCCGCCACGAGCAGCGGCGGGAGCTCGGCGCCGGCGCCGGGCCCGCCCGGACCGCTCGCCGCCTCCGGCCCGAACGGGTTCGCAGCCGGGTGGTCCCTCGTCGCCCCCGCCGGCAGCGCCAGGCGCCACATCTGGTCGTACAGCGGCAGCGTCAGGAACACGTCGCCCGGGCAGCCCGCCTCCGACGCCGTCCTCCGCTCGCCGCCGAAGTAGGGCCACAGCAGCACGCACCCGGCCAGGGGCAGGCGCCATCCCGACGCGGCGACGGCGTGGTGCGCGATGTTGGCGCCCGCCGAGTCGCCCGACACGAACACGCGGCCCAGGTCCGCCGCGTCGGCGAGCCACGGGTCCGCTCCCGCGCCCGCCGCGGCCTCCTGCTGGTCGGCGAGCCAGGAGAGGAGTGCGTCGGCGTCCTCGACCGCCGCGGGGAGGCGGTGCTCCGGGGCCAGGCGGTAGTCGGCGGAGAGCACGACGGCGGGGAGCTCCGCGGCGAGGCGGAGGCAGGCGGCGTGGAACTCCGGCGAGGCGAAGCTGCCGACGACGAAGCCGCCGCCGTGGAAGTAGACCAGCACCGGGAGCTTGAGCTTCGTCTCGGCGCCGCCTTCCACCGCCGCTCCGGCGGCGGACGGCACGTACATGCGGAGGCTCAGGTTGCGGGCCTCGTCGTACACGACGTCCTTCCACCGGACTGGTGCCGCGTCGTCATCGGGCGGCGGAGCGTCGTCAGGGAGGACGAGCGTGGCCGGGGCGCGCTTGACGGTGCCGTCGCTCAGGAGCTGGACGAGCCCGAGGCAGTCCTCCACGACGTGCGGAAGAGGAACTTTGCCGGAGACACCGGACGCGGGCGAGGTGGTGGACGACATGGCAATGTGGAGGAAATGCGGCGTGCTATGGCAGCATGGCGTGGCTGGTGTTTGGCGTGCGGTATATATTGCGTTTCAGCTGGCGACTTTGCTGGACTGCAGTAAATAACTACTGCTAGTCCTCACTCCTGACAGTATGTATATGTCTGGCAGAGTAGCAGTAACAAAGTACCATATGGCAAATAATCAGCCCGTTCGGCAGGGCTGAATTGCCTGGCTGGTGCTGGGGCTGGACCAGCCAGCCAATTCCAGCCCCCAGCCGTATCCAGCATGCTGCAGACATGCTCCAGCCAGCAGATACTGTGCAGGCGTTAAAAAATTGGCGCCAACCCAATTGTAACTCATGCTGATTTTAAATTTTCAAATTCAAACTACCATGCATTTCTAGATCATGCTGTTTTACAGTTTCAACCAACAATTTGAACCCATAATTTACAGTTTGCAACTCAAGCGCAGGAACAGTTTGTCCAATGTTTAAACAGATCAAAAGGGACTGAGGTTTATGATCCATGCTAGATCCAGAATCAACACAACCTACAGACAGCGATTAATTACTTGCACGATTACAATCAAATTCATCTAATTGAGCTCTCTCCACCCCCCACCACCCACACCCACACACCCCAGCACCCCCAAAAAAACATCATATTGACACGGCAAGGTCCCTTAGCTGCACCCATACATATGCCAAGTTAATTGTTCGGCCTACTGCTACAAACTCTCTCGAAGGGGAGCTTTGCCTTCTGGTCCAGCTACATCCAAAACAGTTAAGATCAAGTCAGCTGCGGCATAGGTTGGATTAGAAAGTAAAAAAAGAAAAGTACATGGTTAGGTTGATGAGAACCTTTTCAAGACACCGGGTTGCATCAAGTACATTGCTTGGCCAAATGACAGCTTTATACATTTAGATCGCCTCCTAAGTAACGTTACACACAAAGGTTTAGTATTAGACACCGTTGCCACTTCCCCAAATGGGCACATTGTAAGATCACGAAGAGTGTCAACAAACCTGTCTTCCTAGGCGACCGCGTTGGCGTGGGTAGTTAGGCGGTGGTTCCTTTCCGGAATCCCCATAACTCTAAGGTTTACTTTGTGAGTCGAGTATTTGCAACCATCGTCCACACCGCCGAAAAAGAACGACCAAAAGGTCAAGGGTAATCATAAAGCAGGCATTGTATAATATATTAAGGCTCAAACTGAAACACTTACCATCTGCAAACCTTCATAATATAGGCTAATGAAATTATCAGCCTGTCTTTCCATCTACTCATTGACAACCTAAAAGCTAAGTTGTAATCAACTTAAATTCTGGATCATGTTATATTCAATTAATATTCACCTGGTTGGCAAGTTTTGGAGGAGAAATTTTGGACTCAAGCATTATCTGGTCATCTTGGGCACCGCATATGGCGCGTAAATTAGCAAAGTACCATCCTTTCCTTCATTTGGATCGATACACTTGTACCACTAGTAATCGGACTAGATACAATGCATGTTTCATGATTGCTAGACTCGATCACTCTTGATTGAACCGATCCGAGTAATGAAAATCTGCAATCTCTATATTGAAAGAGATGATGACAATCATTTAACGATCGAAGACTCAACATAACATATGCACCTTAGCCGCGTCGTAGCACATGTCACTTCATCTCCTTTATATACACTAGGAAGGCGACAAAAGCACCTTGCATTGGTGCCAAGCAATTTGTCTTTGAGCAAAGAAGATGGCAAGGTCACCATGTAAATAAAATGGATGTTCATGGAAGTTACTACTAATATTGAGAGTTTACCTAGCAAGAAAGCAAAGAAGATGACGTGGTGAGTTCATTTGCTCCAAGCACGAAGCACGCGTCTTCTTCCTTCTTCCCTTGAAGAGCAAACTCAAATTACCTCTGGTTCAATCATCCATATGAACAAATACAAAACCAATATGATGAAATCATACCCGAGGAATGAGAATCCTTGAGTAGCAACTAAGCAAGATCAGAGTATTACATCACAGCACCAAACAGTACAGAACGTGGCATGGTCATTCACAGAAACAATGTAGCTACTACTATGAAATCATACATCACAACACCAATCAGTACATAACTTGGCACTTGTAGTTCTGTCACTACAATTACATCATACATCAACAAACACAATATGATAGTCCCATAAACGCTTTTTTTCAAAGCGAACTCGGTCCCCACACCTTACACAGATGCACACGCCAAGAGGCGCTAAGGAATTGTACCTACAATCATCTGGTTTATGAAACAACATCCTTGGCCTACATGAGACAACACTCCACACCGCCATGGATATTAACTCCCTAAGTCGAGATAGGGGTTCCCAGATTTAGTTCAACCCAATCCGGCAGACACCTCATAGGAGGGTGGATCTGCTGCCTGCATTTACGCATCCACAAAAAATTATCTAAAGCAAAGCATGAAATGATTATCATAGCTCTGCTTCATCCTCACTGCAGAGGGCACCCCATCAAGAATCTGCCGTTCTTTCAACACCCCAAACCTCCTTTCAATTACATTAGTAATCTAGCATGAATGTAGTTGAATTTCTCCTCCCTCTGTAATTCTTTGCATATCTATGCCTCTAAAGTCATTGATGTGATACCTTGTGTTTTTGTAGGGGTCATGTAGCCTTCCATCTCCTTGTAACCCGCGTCCGCTAGGTAGTACCGGCCTATCATAGCAGTGACAAATCCGATGGCTTAGCAAATTAACCACAAGTATGCTTCAATGCATGTACTACAAGGAAACAAATAGGGTATGCGAACAGCAAGGCATCACGAACCTTCGGGGGGATGTGGGAACGAAGCGTCGTCCTGACAGTCTTTCAACACCGCCATGTCATGACATGCCCCCGCCTTCCCAGCCCCCACATATGTGAAACGGCCATCCATATCCACGATGGCACAAACATTAATTGTTGTTTCGCCTTTCCTATTGTAGAAATCAGCCTTTGCTTGACGGTTAACCTCAACCTTTATGTGCGTGCCATCTATAGCACCTATGCAGCCATCAAACCATGGTGAATGTGCAGCAAGTTTGTGGCTTACGCGTGCGTAGTTCCTATCTGCTGGGACTAAGACTGTATTTGCCCACTGGTACATTACCTCTGCAACTAGTGTAATCTTCCGGCTAACTGTATCTAAAGACCTTTCGAACCTATACTTGCACTGTCTACTAGCCGATTGGTGGGCACATGTCCAGATGTACATGCCTAAAGCTTCTACCGAGGTGCACTTATCTGTTGTTGGCAGCCCAAACGGAAGCAGGGTTTCATGCAAATGCATGAAGTCATCACGCGACATGCGCAAATTCTCTAAACATCTGGTATTTTCGGCTAGTGTAAGCTGCATCCACTGGGCTCCCGTTAGCTTAGGAATGGGGCAAGGAGGATTTACCTCAGGCCTTTGCTGTGACAGAAGCCCTTTCAGCAGGACAAATGCTGCCTTTGCCACAGTCACATTGCTCGGTCCATCACTGGATGTGTCGCTGTAGGAGGACTCGTCAGTGCTGCTCATGCTGCTACCTACAATTGGGCATACATAAGACAGATTGTAATGCCGATATTAGGAACAACACAAGTGCAAATAAATGAACATATGACGATACCTGAACTCGGTAGCACCTTCAAAACAGGTTGGAACGTACATGGGAAAAGTACACTAATTTTTTATTCAAAACACTCACAGCAGTACACTAATTTGTTACAGCACTCTTTTTTTGTTTACAACACTCACACCAGTACACTAATTTTTTATTCAAAAAATGAGACAACGACAGGCACTTAGTTCTCAACAATAGTCTTTGGTAATATGAAAAAACGAACATAAGGATACAACAAACCAAATGAACTCAACATGCACATGGTGAATATCCGCAAACAGGCGAAAAAAAGGAATGTGCTGATCAGTGGGACTTGTTGGAGCACACAAAGGCCCACGTCACTTTGATCTAGTTCAGCCGGCCCTCTTTGGACTCCATGTCTAGAAAACCACAGCGATCGAGCCTATCTCTCGCAAAGGTTAGTGGCTTGCACGAATACTTCATCGACCTCGCTAATACCATCTTGCAGTGAGAATGTTTTGGACTTGGGCCAATTCTCTGCAAGATCGGTTTTGTGGACGGCCTTCGGGACCTAGCCTCTCGAGAAAGTGGCCGAGGTCTTCAAGGCACTCTTCTCTGAGATGGAGTTTGGCTACTCTTCTTGTCTGCGAGGACTGTTCACTGAAAACTCTCTATGGACTCTCTTCGAGGGCTGATGAGTACTAGGTGGCTCGTGCTGGTGGTCCGATAAGGATGGAGGAGTGCGAGGGCTTCCATTACTAGGTGACTTGTCGGGTCGGTGGCCCCCCACCGATACCAACTGGCCCCTGTCACGTGGGGTGCGTCCCAAAATTGTGATCAGTTGCTCACAGCATTGGGGCCGTTTGAACTTGTTTCTAGCGGGTTGGCTACTTTCCTGCACGTGTTGCAGTGATGTCGAAGTTAGTATTGAGTTAGTACGAACCTAATTGCTACAAAATATTCAAAAAAATGCGTGTAGTTAGTACCCCGGGACTGGCGCCGTACAACTCGAGGTCGGTTGTAACCTCTCGGTCGGTACTGGTCACGGGCGAGCCCAAGATGGGGAGTGCTGTCGTCGCGCCGCTTGAAGTAACAACGTTTCAGTTCGTTGTACTTGTTCTGGCACACTTTCTTGTTGTACCCAAGGTCCGTGACTTTGTTGAAGTCATGAGTGATATTGGTCCACCCTAGTGAGGTTGGACCGTTGGCAGGGGTCCAGTGACAGAGCTCTTTCTGCTGGATGATTAGGTCAAGAAGCAGAGAGGTTGCTCTGTCATCCCAGACAGCACGGTCCTGGCTCATCTGATTCAAGGATCGACAAAGCTATTAGTAATCTGGTGATCAATGCAAAATCTGCAGGAAAAGATGTACTAATGGATTCATAATGCTTTCTTGTATCATGGATAATACTAATTGCCT